ACTGCACCGTCTCCTGCGGCCAAGCCCCCTCGTCAAGATCCACTAGGTGAGAGGAGGAGGGCTCTTCAAGGATCACCAGGGGGGCACCCTTACCTTCATCGGCCCCCCTCAACTTCTTAGTCACCGGAGGCTTGGAGCCCTTCCCAGCATTCTTCCTTTTAAGCTCCCCAGTTTGGGAGCCCCCGGCACCAGCACCGGAATCAACAGCAGCAATCTCCTTGGGAGGCTCCTTAGCTTCCGGAATCTTTGAGGCCCCGGCCTTCTTGAAAACTTCGACGACGAGGGGTTGGTGCGAGAGCCCCTCCTCCTTCTTCTTTTTTGGCACCTTGGCCAGCTTCTTAGACAACCGCGCGAAGGCTTGCACATCCATGATATCACCTGCAAAGGATAACAAAGAGTCAGAATCAGAATTAGTCAAGGAGGAATATTCTAAGTATTAGATACAAGAGCCCTCGGCAACAACCTCCGGCGTTTTGATACCCCCGGTCGATCACAGGATATTTCTCATCTTCATCCCCCGGAAGGCGATACCGCCTGAAGCCCAGCAAGTAAAGATCCTCTGGGAGCGTCGCCGCCCTGATAGCGATCACCTTGTCAGAGCCCTCGGGCTTCGCGGTGAGTTTCTTACCAGCCTTTTGCAGTGCCGCACTGCCCACCTTCGGATGCCTACGGAAATGATTGCGCAGGGCCCCCGGGAATGGGTTATCAGCCATCCGAATATAGCAAAATTTTTCCTTCCACTCCTTGTGCGACGAGGGGGTCTCGGAGAACAGCTTCCAAGCCGGCACCTGTTGCAGGTTAGCATACCCCCCGGCATGGGAATGTCCACCACAGCACAGATTAAAGGAGAGGAAGAACTGATCTAGTGTAGCCTCCACCTTCCGGCTCTAGCAGATGGATAAGAACCCCGCCAAGTAATAGTGGCTGTTTGGAGTTAGCTGGCAGGGGGCTAGCTTTACAAACCTCAGGTACTCCAAGACGAAAGGGTGGAGTGGGAACCTAAGACCCAATTCCACCGAGAGCATATGAACAGAGAAGCACCCCTCCGGGGGGTGAGAGAGCAGATCTTCGGCCCCCGGCTCCACGACCTGCGCCAAAGGTCCCACGAGGACATGGAGAGCTTGATAATCAGCACCCGATGTGACACTCCGAAAATTTTAATATAAGAAAGAAATAATTACATAAATATGATCAAAATAAAGATGATTTACAAAAATATGACTAGTGACTAGAGTAGTAATGAAATCATAGTAATTTATGTTCAAGTTTTGAACTTAAGTTACCACAACACCACATTGTAGTAAAGAATAGTCATATTTATGTAAATATGTTTTATTTTAGTAATATTCTTGTAAAAAACCCTATAAGAAAATGTATGGTTTTATTTATCAAATAAAAAGTGACATTTTATTAAGAGAATCAGATAAAATTTTAAGAAAAGTAACATTCTTATAATAAATTTAACAAAGTAGTGTTTTTTTTTTCTTTTTCATAAATATTTTGGTGTAGGAAGAAAATTATTAGGAATGATAATTCAAAGATGCCAATTGATACAATTTGTACAATAATATGTCTATAATAATGCATACCTTGACCTTTCTAACATACCTGTACGAACATACGAAGTATATAAGTACCAAGTATATAACTCCATATATAACTCCATAACTCCATATATAAGTATATAAGTATATACGTATATAACTCCATATATAACTCTATATATAAGTATACGAACATATATAAGTATATAACGTCATATATAACTCCATAACCTATACGTACCCACGTAAACTAATGAAGCTTGAGGATAAATATCAGCTGCGCGTAAAAAGTGGATCGCACAACCTCCAACTTTCGAACCGATCGGATGAGCTCAAAAGAAACCCTAAGTATGCCTTAAGAACTGTATAAATACTAGCCTCAACCTTCACTTCCCTTCACCCAGAGCAAAGCTCGATCAACATATATATATTCATAAATACGTCTATAATTCTATATATATAATAGTATATATGTGTGTGTACACAAATTTCAACCCGTCGTTTTAGCCATAACCGAGCCCTTAAAACACCTTTGAGATCTTCCCCTGCTTGAGAGGAGTCCAACGGAAGAAGAATCATTGAAAACGATCGTGAAACGACGGAGAACGGGCTTGCCAGAGTTCCGCCGGGCTAACCGTAAAAACGAAAAAGGAGAAGACGGAGGAGCTGCCGCTGCCGCCAACCCATCACTGACCTTCGCCGCCCCAAACGAGTCTTTTACCACCACCGTATCACGAATCCGTCGAGGTAACCTCCCTTTCCCCCTGCCCTGCGTAGCTCATTCCATCGAGGAAGAAGAACAGTACTCTCTTGAGTCTCTTCTTTAAAAAAAACAACATTGTTGGGCTGTTGTTTAAGTTTGGGCCGAACCTCCTAAGTAATAATAATAATAATAATCATAATAAAAATAATAATCTGCAAAATTATTAATAAAATCTGGAATGGAATTAGTAATAATGATATTGGCTTGTTTGATTGATAGTAATCACTTAGATAAGTTTGTTAATTGTTAGTTATCATAATCACATAATGATAAATGATGAAATGAATTGTTGGTTAATTAATATTATATTAAAATAATAAGTCATTTTTATGTAGTACCATAATTAGTTTAAATAAAATTGGATGGATATTATTTTCACTAATTATTGGATTAATTGAAGTAGGTTAATAAAATTAAATTACGGACTCGGAAATATTAAGTGTTTGAGTAATTAATAAAATCAGAATACATTAATAACAATTAGTTAGTTTAAATAATTGTTATAATATTCGGATTTTTGTTTTATATAATTATTGGGTAAATACTATAGGTGTTAATAATATTAAAGGAATTGCGACGAACTGAGATTAGTTAATTAATAGCTTTTATTATCGGACTAGATTAAAATTGATAAAGGATTATTGAATTAATTACCGAATTTAATTAAGATAGTCATTAAGTATGAAAATATTAGTAATAATCTATATGTTTATAATTCGCATATCTTAATAATATATAATTAATTATTTGGATGTATTATAAGAAGAGTAAATTAATGTTGATTAATATAAACTAAAGAAATTGTGAAATTTGGATATGTAATTGAAATATAATTCGAAAAGTATAACATGATCATTAGTGATTAAAAAAAAAAATTATTGGCAGAATTCAGATAGTAACAAAGTAATGGATTAATAAAAGTGATTAATGAATGGATAAGCTAAGTTTGAATAATTAATTAGTTAATTATATTAATAAATTTGAATAATAAAATAAAAGGTGATAATCGGACAAGTTATTAAAAATAGAATAAGTGACTAATTATATCATCTTAATTAAAAAGGTGAATACTTAGAGACCGGAATAGAAGAGGAGAACTAGGGGCGTCAGGACCTACGGTAAGTTTCTCTGCCGATCCAAAATTGTTTCCTCGTATTATATGCTTATTATGCATTATGCATTAAGTGTGAATTGTGAATTGTGAGTGTGTGATTTTGATGAATACAAATCAAGAGTACTTTTTGGGGTATTAAATATTTTTAAATACCTTTGAGATTATTTAGAGAGATTGAGAAATATTTTTAGAAGTATATCTAAAGCCAAGATAAAATTTACGTTTTCATAAGAAGTGAGCACCGCGGGAGAAATCCGCGGTGTCGGTTTTCCACATCCGGATAAATGTGGAGGGTGATTAGAGCGGCTACTACTAAGAAGAGATTTTTGAGTAACTTTCGGATCGATGATCCTTTTTAAGGAGAGTTGTGGTAGTAGTAGTAGTTCCGACGTAAAAGGGCTACTACTGCTAAGGGTGAGAATAAGTTTTCAGTGATATTTGGATCTATGATCCCTTTTAAGAAGAAGTTATAATAGTAGTAGTCCCTAATCATTCAAGAATTTTAAAGGTGGGGTGGTTGGTAGACTGAGTCCCGACTACCCGAGATGACTTACTACTCGGAGGGCTTGGAATCCCTTTTAGGGGGTGTGCACACTTAAGATAGTCGTTTCGTTTCTACAAGAGCAGATGTGGTACCGGCACTTGTTCGGGGTGGCCGCCCGTAACCACGGTCCACCGGGCTCAGTCGAAAGGTTGAGCACCGCCCTTCTAAATTACTAGGAAGTTAGAGAAGAAGTGATTTTTGAGATAATCAAAGAAGAAGAGAATTTTTATGGAGTGTGTTATTTTTATATAGTTGTTGAGGTTTATTCCTTCAACCCCCGGGTCCAACACGTAAGCCCAAGGGTCTCGAGTGGAGTGTGTGTGAGAAAACTAGCCCAACAAGCAGATGATATGGATTCAAGAGAACAAGAAGTAGCAAGTAATTGATTAGGTATTATTATCTCTCAATAACTCCCTAATACAATACTTTTCGCTAAGGCTCCGTCGGCCGTTCGTCTTACAAAGCAGTGGAAGTGCTGCGTGTGACACCGCACCCGTGTGTACCCGAATTTACTATTTGAAAGTTTCGTAATTGATGTTTTGAACTTGTTATTACCAGCCGTGTGTAACACGTGTGTTATCTTATGTAACTCATGCTCTGACATTGTGTGAAACGAGTAGTGTTTGATGTAACTTGTGTTTGTTAACCTATCGTTGGGATCCGTGTTTCGTGAGTGAGTTTCCAAATACTGATTTGGGCCATCTTGGTTAGTATAAGAGCCCGATATTATATGGAGAGAAATCACATTAAGAAGACACAAATAATAACACTCAATTTTCCCCCGTAAGGAATTATCGGTAAGGATTTTCCTTCCGGGCTGACTTGGACCGAAGGGGGTGCGTCCCACACCTCCTTGGCACTTACAAGACAAAGAGAATATGGTATGTTGACTTTTGGGGCGGACCATGATGGAGTGGGGTTGTGTAGAGAATAAAATGATAAGGGTTGGACCCCATTTGTACTTATTTAGTAAGACTTGGTGGAGAATCATCCACACCTCACTCAACCCACTCCACACAAAAGGAATAACCTTTTGGGAGGCCTAAGGGTCAGCCTTAGTACCCCCCATTCGAATTTACTTGGCTTCTAAGAGAAGAGAACCGATAACAAAGAAAAAGAGAAAGGAGAGAGCAGTTCGCAGTTTTCGTCACTGTGCGTAGGGTTGATTGTTCAGCCCATATCTTGAGCTTCACTCGTTCAAATCAGGCGTGTGAGGTGTCCAGAGAAAGATCTTAAAACAAGGATTCTGGAATGGTGTAGATCGCGACGATCGGAGTTGAGGAAGGCTTCCAAATCTGCGTTGGAAAGTACGACCCTGCAGCAGAGTTTCTTCTTCTCTAGGGGTGAGTTGAACCTGAAAACTTCCTTTTCTTTACATAGATCGTATGTAAGGTTTAGGAGGCTATTATACCTTGTTCTTAGGGTAGAATGTATTCATGAAATGTAGACATGTGAGTTTAAAGGTTAGGCACTAACCTTCAATGAACCTTGAACGGTTAGGAAGTGAACTTGCCGGGGAACACCTCTTCAAGAGGACTGTTTAGTTTCGTGGCAGGAGGGTGGAGCCAGCTGCTGAGAGCCGGCTGCTGAGCCAGCTGCTGAGAGAAGGCTGCTGCCCACTCATTTTTTTAACGCAAGGAGTTAGCTCGCAACCTTCCTTGGCCGAGCCTTGATCGTTGGAGCGTGAAAGGAAGTCTAAAGCTCTTTAAGGTGAGGATCGACATCTAGTTGCTTACAACTTGTAGGTTAAGCATGAGATTACCTAAATGCCTAAATAATGTTTTCCATGGATTATGATGATAAACTATTGATGGAATATTGATCTATTTGCCAAAGAATGAAATGGGAAATGATTTGGTAAAGTATTGATAAAAATGGAGTTAAATGAACTATTGTGTGAAATAGGCATTTTACTCATGTGTGCATTGTGTAGATACATAAATGATTATTTATGTATTACATTGAATGATTAAGTTGCTGCTACATATCTCTAAATATGTAGAGTTTTACAAATGGAATATATGATGGATAAGAATAATCTTAATAGTATTGAAATACTAGTTAATGATTGTTGTAATTGTTAAGGAATTGAATCTATGGATTTGATTGAAATTGATGAACTTGATTGTGATGCAAGTGACTAAATTGATGTAATGTGATGCTAAGACCATGGTTGGGCAGTCCGTAAGGACGTCCCAAAATAGATTATTGATATTACAATTCTAGGCATAGTGAGTGCTTAGGAATTGGGGTCTATGCCAATGTAAGGAGATGTACTTGAGCCGTGCTCATAGAATTGCATTGGGTAGACATGATGAGGTGATTGTAGTGCTTAGGAATTGGGGTCTATGCCAATGTAAGGAGATGTACTTGAGCCGTGCTCATAGAATTGCATTGGGTAGACATGATGAGGTGATTGTAGTGCTTAGGAATTGGGGTCTATGCCAATGTAAGGAGATGTACTTGAGCCGTGCTCATAGAATTGCATTGGGTAGACATGATGAGGTGATTGTTGTGCATGGTGATGTAGTCGAGTTGGACTCGAGAATACAAACATATGTGTTAGGGTTGAACCCTATGATTTGTTGTGACTAGGGGTCACGGGGTTTTGGGCTTTGTTTGATAAACAAAACTTGGGCCTACGGGCCGACTACTTGACTTTATATATAAAGTAAGTATATTTTAAAAAGGGGTAACTTGGGGTTACGGCCTAGATTATATTATCACCCTATTTGAGGGTCTTGTGTTTGAAATACTTGTTGTATATCTATTAGATGCCATCCACACCAGCACTTTATAGCCCTATAGAGTGCTGACCCCTTCGGGGGCGTCCCACCACCATTTTTCAGGTTGAGGCTAGAGCTTGCTTCCTGTGCTCGTTGCTCGAGAGATCATCTAGGAGGGGAGACTTGGTTCGTGCTTCCTCCATTCGTTTTTTAAACATTAATAAACATGCTCATGGATATTTTACTATAGAGCCTGCGTGCTCATGGATAGCCCGGTGTGGCCTTTTTGTTTTAAACAATGTTTTCCGCTGCGTTATGAATTACTTATTATGTTTGTTTATGGATGTTATATGTGTGGATGATATTCATGACGCCTTGTATAATATGAATGTGTTGGGCTGCGGTTGACTATTCGTATTGTACGGCGGGTTGTTGACGTGTCCGGGTAGGTCCGGGGCGTGACAATTAAGTTGGTATCAGAGCCTTAGTCCATAAACTTCATAATGAAGTCTCAAAATTCTCTTTTCAAAATGATTTTTGAAAACCATGAGCAAAAACGTTTTGTACTTAAGAACTTTTGATGTTTGAGTTGCAAGGTCTCTAATTGTTAAGATGGCGCCCTTAACGATTGGTATGGCGGTGACTTGGCCCAAGAGATGTCTTAAGTGCCTATCTGTCAGTTGACATTGGAAACGAGTCTAATGACTCATTCTAATTATTTCTTTCAGCGATGGTGGGTGATGGTGGTATTATGAATAGGGAGAACTCGGAAGGGCTTGCACCGGGTGGAACCGGGCATGTCAACCGAGAAAAGCCCTTAGGACCAAAGGTGCATGAAATTCTTGAAGCTCAAATCGTGAGTGGTGGTCATGTTAAGACCAAGGAAAAATCACCTTGTTATGGCAAAACTGAACCACTCAAGGCTTCGGGTGACGAAGGAGATGGTTTGAGTGATGAGGACCTTGATAATGCACCCATTGAACAAATGGGCATGGTCATAAATTGGCTTCAACGTGAACGTGCAAGACTTATACAAAAACGCCAAGCTAGGCAAGCTAAGGACGCACCATTAGGAAGGAAAAGAAAATGGGGAGACCACGACCCCCAAGGACATTCTAGGAGGACAAATGTTGAGGGTGACAAAACCTTCGGGGTACACACATTATCGCTTGGGAGGAGTCGAGGCTCGGGTGGCCAGAACTCGAGGTCAAAAGGTTCGAGAGTACCTAAGTGCACAAATTGTAAGAAGCACCACCCGGGTAAGTGTTGGGACCCTCCTAGGTGCTACCGATGCAGAGAGATTGGGCACACGAATGCGAATTGCCCACAACTTATACCCGACCAAACTTTGGGCTCAAGTAGTACGACTATAGGCATACGGAGTCAAGCCGGGGCCTCTCGAGCAAGTAAGGAACATGGCGGAGCAAGTGTGAGCAACGCGCCGTCCGTGAATCAAGGGAGGACTCAAGCTAGGGTCTACGCGATGACGGAGGCGGATGCTCAAGCTAACCCGGATTCCGTTGCAGGTATTGCCTCTCGTATACTAGTGTTTTACCCTTAATTAATCCATAAATTGAGGTTACTAATCGCTAGGATCATTGCACAAGGTTTTGGGGTCAAACCGGGGGATTTCGGGCAACTTCAGGCGGCTGGGACCCAGGCACGATCGTGCCTAAGGCAGACACGATCGTGCCTCCAAGTCAGTAGCTGCCCAGGAATTTCCCCAGCCCAGGCACGATCGTGCCTAAGGCAGACACGATCGTGCCTACAAGGCAGTAGCTCCCCATGTGTTTCTCCAAACCAGGCACGATCGTGCCTAAGGCAGACACGATCGTGCCTCCAAGGCAGTAGCCCCCAGGGCTTTTTCTTGAGCCAGGCACGATCGTGCCTGGCACCCAGATTGCCGAAACCCGATTTTTTCGCATCGTTTTGCGACGTTAAGGCCTCTTCTTGATCCCTAACGTGCGTGTGAACATTGCAACCTTCTATAAATGAGTAGGGAGGGTAGGAAAGATGTCTTACATGGTTCATGAATGTAGGGACACTAAAGATTAACGGGAAGGATGCACGAATCCTTATCGATACCGGAGCGCAACGTTCATTCGTGAGTGAGGCGTTTGCCGAGAGCTTAGAGATGCAATCAATACCAATGACACAAACCTTAGTGGTATCAACCCCACTAGGGGAAGACGTTGAAAGAAACAATTACTATCCATCTTGTATGGTGGAAATCGGTGGCCAAACCTTGACGTGTGATTTCGTACCGCTGAGTATGATGGAGTTCGATGCAATCCTAGGGATGGATTGGCTAGAAAAGCATCATGCTAGGGTAGATTGCTACACAAAGGTGTTGGAACTCGAAGGCACACAGGGGGACACCCTACGCTTCGAAGGGGAACCGCGGCAAATCAAATAGTTGTATCATATCCGCCGTGAGAGCGAGAAATATGATGAGGAAGGGATGCCACGCATATCTAGCATACGTGGTTGACAAAACCAAAGAGGAAACGAACATCGATGATGTGAGGGTGGTTTGTAAGTATCCGGATGTCTTCCCTAAAGACCTACCGGGGCTTCCACCTGACAGAGAGATTGAATTTGTGATCGAGGTCGAGCCGGGTACCAAACCAATCTCCATACCGCCATACCGGATGGCACCCGCTGAACTTAACGAGTTGAAAACCCAATTGCAAGAGCTTTTGGATAACGGTTTCATTAGACCAAGCCACTCCCCATGGGGAGCACCGGTTCTTTTTGTGAAAAAGAAAGATGGGACACTTCGAATGTGCATTGACTATCGTCAACTGAACAAGGTCACAATCAAGAATAGGTATCCGTTGCCTAGGATTGATGACTTGTTTGATCAACTACGAGGAGCAACCGTGTTTTCGAAGATTGACTTAAGGTCGGGGTACCATCAATTGAAGATTAAGGAAGATGACATACCAAAGAGTGCTTTCCGCACAAGGTATGGGCATTTTGAGTTCCTTGTTATGTCGTTTGGGTTAACAAATGCCCCGGCGGCATTCATGGACTTGATGAACCGAGTATTTCATAAATACTTGGACCGATTCGTGATTGTGTTCATAGATGACATCTTGATTTACTCAAGGAGTGAAGAAGAGCATGAAGAGCACTTGATACTTGTTCTTGAGACACTACGGGAGAAGCAACTCTATGCCAAATTTTCTAAATGTGAATTTTGGCTAAAGGAGATTGGCTTCCTCGGGCACGTGGTTTCTGGATCGGGGATTGCTGTTGATAACAAGAAGATAGAAGCCATTACTGAATGGGAGAGGCCAAAGAACGTCAAGGAAATTCGTAGTTTCCTTGGATTGGCAGGCTATTATAGAAAGTTCGTGGAGAAGTTCGCTGTTTTGGCATCGCCATTGACGAAGCTCACTCGTAAAGGAGCTAAGTTTGTATGGGATGACAAATGTGAGAAAGGGTTCATGGAACTGAAAAAGAGATTGACTGAGGCACCGGTACTTGCATTACCCAAACAAGGTGTGGGGTACGATGTCTATAGCGATGCGAGCATCCAAGGGCTCGGATGTGTACTGATGCAGAATGGGAGGGTAATCGCCTATGCTTCACGACAATTGAAGAAGCATGAGGTGAATTATCCTACTCATGATTTGGAGCTCGGGGCAGTGGTATTTGCACTAAAGATATGGAGACATTATCTCTACGGGGAGACATGTCACATATACACTGATCACAAGAGCTTGAAGTACGTGTTTACTCAGAAAGAGCTAAACATGAGACAGAGACGGTGGATGGAGCTGATAAAAGACTACCATCTAGTGATAGAGTATCACCCAGGCAAGGCAAACGTGGTGGCAGATGCTTTGAGCCGGAAGAGCTCGTCTGGGGCATTGATAACTAATTTGAGGGCATTAAGAGCCCAACTGGAGGTAACCAGCGATGGTGCCTTATTGGCACGATTTGAGGTGAGACCCACTTTACTTGATGAGATCAAGAAGGGTCAGGAAGCCGACGAAGAACTTATGAAGGTCCGGGAACGCATGCAAGCGGGGCCGGTAGAGGATTTCAGGGAAAGAGATGATGGTCTCTTGTTATTTCGTGACCGAGTGTGTGTACCGTCAGATGATGAGCTCCGAAAGTCCATCTTAGAGGAGGCTCATTCATCGGCTTATGCCATGCACCCGGGGGGCACGAAAATGTACCGTGATTTGAAGGAAAGTTACTGGTGGTCTGGAATGAAGAGGGAAATAGCCGAGTACATCAGTCGGTGCCTTACTTGTCAACAAGTTAAGGCAGAACATCAGCACCCAGCAGGCCTATTGCAACCACTCTCCATCCCTGAATGGAAGTGGGAGCACGTGACTATGGATTTCGTGGTAGGCTTACCACGGACTATCAGGAACTATGACGCGGTTTGGGTCGTTGTGGATAGGCTCACAAAGAGTGCACACTTCTTGCCTATCAACACTACCTACCCACTTGAGAGGTTAGCCAAATTGTATACGGATGAGATCGTGAGGCTGCATGGGGTCCCGGTGACCATTGTATCTGATAGAGACCCACGATTCACGTCACGTTTTTGGCCGAAATTCCAGGAGTCTATGGGAACGAAGTTGAAGTTCAGCACTGCTTTCCATCCACAGACGGATGGGCAGTCTGAAAGGGTTATACCGATCCTAGAAGACATGCTGAGGGCTTGTGCATTGGAGTTCCAGGGGAGTTGGGACAACCACTTAGCACTTGTGGAGTTTGCCTATAACAACAGTTATCAGGCAAGCATCGGCATGCCTCCATACGAGGCATTGTATGGGAGGAGGTGCCGTACACCGTTATGCTGGGACGAGGTTGGCATGGCCAAACTCGAGGGTACTGAGTTGGTGGAGGTCACCAAATCAAAGGTGAAGTTAATTCGAGAGAGACTCAAGGCGGCTCAGGATAGACAAAAGAGTTATGCAGATAAGCGTCGAAGAACCTTAGAGTTTAAGGTTGATGACGAGGTATTCTTGAAAGTTTCTCCTTGGAAAGGGATCATCCGGTTCCAGAGCCGAGGGAAGCTTAACCCACGCTACATAGGGCCATTCAGAATTCTAGAGAAAATTGGGGCCGTGGCATATCGTCTACAGTTGACTCCCGAGTTGGAGAAGATTCATAATGTGTTTCACGTATCCATGCTTAAGAAGTATGTGCATGATCCTTCTCATGTGTTGGAGAAGCCGCCCGTGGAGGTACGTGAAGATTTGAACTATGCCGTGCAACCGGTAAGAGTTATTGACAGAAAAGTGAAGAAACTGAGGAGTAAAGAAGTTCCAATGGTTAAAGTCCTTTGGAAGAGTGACCGGGTCGAAGAAGAGACTTGGGAAACGGAGGCTTTGATGAGGAAGCAGTATGCATTCCTATTCGAGTAGCGTTGTGAATTTCGGGGACGAAATTCCTGTTAAGGGGGGGTGAACTTGTGACACCGCACCCGTGTGTACCCGAATTTACTATTTGAAAGTTTCGTAATTGATGTTTTGAACTTGTTATTACCAGCCGTGTGTAACACGTGTGTTATCTTATGTAACTCATGCTCTGACATTGTGTGAAACGAGTAGTGTTTGATGTAACTTGTGTTTGTTAACCTATCGTTGGGATCCGTGTTTCGTGAGTGAGTTTCCAAATACTGATTTGGGCCATCTTGGTTAGTATAAGAGCCCGATATTATATGGAGAGAAATCACATTACGAAGACACAAATAATAACACTCAATTTTCCCCCGTAAGGAATTATCGGTAAGGATTTTCCTTCCGGGCTGACTTGGACCGAAGGGGGTGCATCCCACACCTCCTTGGCACTTACAAGACAAAGAGAATATGGTATGTTGACTTTTGGGGCGGACCATGATGGAGTGGGGTTGTGTAGAGAATAAAATGATAAGGGTTGGACCCCATTTGTACTTATTTAGTAAGACTTGGTGGAGAATCATCCACACCTCACTCAACCCACTCCACACAAAAGGAATAACCTTTTGGGAGGCCTAAGGGTCAGCCTTAGTACCCCCCATTCGAATTTACTTGGCTTCTAAGAGAAGAGAACCGATCAGAACAAAGAAAAAGAGAAAGGAGAGAGCAGTTCGCAGTTTTCGTCACTGTGCGTAGGGTTGATTGTTCAGCCCATATCTTGAGCTTCACTCGTTCAAATCAGGCGTGTGAGGTGTCCAGAGAAAGATCTTAAAACAAGGATTCTGGAATGGTGTAGATCGCGACGATCGGAGTTGAGGAAGGCTTCCAAATCTGCGTTGGAAAGTACGACCCTGCAGCAGAGTTTCTTCTTCTCTAGGGGTGAGTTGAACCTGAAAACTTCCTTTTCTTTACATAGATCGTATGTAAGGTTTAGGAGGCTATTATACCTTGTTCTTAGGGTAGAATGTATTCATGAAATGTAGACATGTGAGTTTAAAGGTTAGGCACTAACCTTCAATGAACCTTGAACGGTTAGGAAGTGAACTTGCCGGGGAACACCTCTTCAAGAGGACTGTTTAGTTTCGTGGCAGGAGGGTGGAGCCAGCTGCTGAGAGCCGGCTGCTGAGCCAGCTGCTGAGAGAAGGCTGCTGCCCACTCATTTTTTTAACGCAAGGAGTTAGCTCGCAACCTTCCTTGGCCGAGCCTTGATCGTTGGAGCGTGAAAGGAAGTCTAAAGCTCTTTAAGGTGAGGATCGACATCTAGTTGCTTACAACTTGTAGGTTAAGCATGAGATTACCTAAATGCCTAAATAATGTTTTCCATGGATTATGATGATAAACTATTGATGGAATATTGATCTATTTGCCAAAGAATGAAATGGGAAATGATTTGGTAAAGTATTGATAAAAATGGAGTTAAATGAACTATTGTGTGAAATAGGCATTTTACTCATGTGTGCATTGTGTAGATACATAAATGATTATTTATGTATTACATTGAATGATTAAGTTGCTGCTACATATCTCTAAATATGTAGAGTTTTACAAATGGAATATATGATGGATAAGAATAATCTTAATAGTATTGAAATACTAGTTAATGATTGTTGTAATTGTTAAGGAATTGAATCTATGGATTTGATTGAAATTGATGAACTTGATTGTGATGCAAGTGACTAAATTGATGTAATGTGATGCTAAGACCATGGTTGGGCAGTCCGTAAGGACGTCCCAAAATAGATTATTGATATTACAATTCTAGGCATAATGAGTGCTTAGGAATTGGGGTCTATGCCAATGTAAGGAGATGTACTTGAGCCGTGCTCATAGAATTGCATTGGGTAGACATGATGAGGTGATTGTAGTGCTTAGGAATTGGGGTCTATGCCAATGTAAGGAGATGTACTTGAGCCGTGCTCATAGAATTGCATTGGGTAGACATGATGAGGTGATTGTAGTGCTTAGGAATTGGGGTCTATGCCAATGTAAGGAGATGTACTTGAGCCGTGCTCATAGAATTGCATTGGGTAGACATGATGAGGTGATTGTTGTGCATGGTGATGTAGTCGAGTTGGACTCGAGAATACAAACATATGTGTTAGGGTTGAACCCTATGATTTGTTGTGACTAGGGGTCACGGGGTTTTGGGCTTTGTTTGATAAACAAAACTTGGGCCTACGGGCCGACTACTTGACTTTATATATAAAGTAAGTATATTTTAAAAAGGGGTAACTTGGGGTTACGGCCTAGATTATATTATCACCCTATTTGAGGGTCTTGTGTTTGAAATACTTGTTGTATATCTATTAGATGCCATCCACACCAGCACTTTATAGCCCTATAGAGTGCTGACCCCTTCGGGGGCGTCCCACCACCATTTTTCAGGTTGAGGCTAGAGCTTGCTTCCTGTGCTCGTTGCTCGAGAGATCATCTAGGAGGGGAGACTTGGTTCGTGCTTCCTCCATTCGTTTTTTAAACATTAATAAACATGCTCATGGATATTTTACTATAGAGCCTGCGTGCTCATGGATAGCCCGGTGTGGCCTTTTTGTTTTAAACAATGTTTTCCGCTGCGTTATGAATTACTTATTATGTTTATTTATGGATGTTATATGTGTGGATGATATTCATGACGCCTTGTATAATATGAATGTGTTGGGCTGCGGTTGACTATTCGTATTGTACGGCGGGTTGTTGACGTGTCCGGGTAGGTCCGGGGCGTGACACTGCGAGTAAGAATACTATAGCTAGAGTGCTAAGAATAGAAAGTTGCCAACCCTTTACAATGACATAAATGCTTCTATTTATACCCACCAATGGGCAGGTGGCTATGCTGACGTGGAGGCCTGTGGACCGCTGGTGTCCCAACCACCAAATCTTCAGCATTAAATGCGCTTCCCGCCAGAATCTAGGTTTCCCGCCTAAATAGTGGGGACGTTCGTCCGCCCGGGAGGCGAGCTGGACTGCTCCAAGTGACCCTCGAGAGGTTTCGGCTGTCCGTCTCCTGGCCTTAATGGATTCTCACCATGTGGACTGGATTTCCTCCGATGACTATGGGCTTGCTCAGGAGACGTTCGTCGTCATCCCTGATGGCCCGTGGTCCTGCCCCTGGTCCTTGCATTTACGTTCGTCGCGATGGACCGTTGAGCCTTAACAACCCTCAACACAAGACGTTCGTCCCTTCCCAAGGGACATGGGCCTGCGGCTAGCCTTGTGTTCTTACCAGACGCGCGTCTGGTAAAAAGGGTTAATGGGCCGGACCTCGGCTTGGGCCGTTAACCCAACACAAGTCCCCCACTTCTGATGTTCTGAGCATGCGCAGGACATAAGGAAGTATGAAGTCCCTCGAAGTAGACGTTCGTGTCTTGGTACTTAACTTATTGCATCCGGTGGAAGCGTACGCTCATGGTCAAGGTGCTTAACAGCTGTCGACGGTTCAGGAAACGAGGTGACGGCTGCTGTAGCGGCGGTGCATTTTCCGAGGAAATGTCATCATTACGCTTTTGCCCCACGCTCAGCGCGTGAGCCGGAATACGCTCCCTGCCACGCGTCAGCCCCCCGTTGGCTCCCCCATCGGTGTTTCTCCTATAAATGCCGGGTTCTCCCTCTGGATTAGGGTTCCCAATTTCTGCTCTCTTGCTTCCGAATTTCCGCAGCTCTTCAAGTCTTCTCCCGCTTCCAAGCTCGGCTAATCCCTTTCTAAGGTAATTTTCATCCTCTGCTTCTTTTCCTTGTCTTGAATTCTCGCCGAGATGGTTTCGATGGAGATCTCGTCAAGTTCTGGTTCGGGTTCATCGGGTTTTTCCTCGGGCTCCTCTTCCGACTCCGGTTCACGCTCTTCGGGCGAAACTAGCACTTCCGGTAGTTCTGGCTCGGCCCCTACCGTGGGAACTGTTCAGGCCGGGGAAACCCAAATTGGTGTTGTCAAGACTGTCCCTGGTGAGGAGGGTGCTGATTCGGGGGAGCAAGGCAATATGGCCCTCGATGTAGTGGACCCCGTGGCTGACGTCGGGGAGCAGGAGCCCGCTAGTGAGGACGGCCGTCCGGACGGATATGACTCTGGGATCGAGGCCCAGGATGGTTCCGACATCGAAATGTTTGATCTTGGGCTAAAGATAGATGTGGAGAGGCATCTATGCCCGATCAAAAATGTCCTCTGCCACGAGCAGATCTTCTCGCCGGTAGCCCTTAACAAGCTCAAGGTGTTCTTCCCCCCTCCGTCCGTATACAGCCTCCGTGGCGCAACCCACGTGATGAGGAGACGCCCAGGGATGATTATGGTGCTTCTGGACTCCATCGAGGCTGGGCTGCGCTTCCCCCTTCATCCGTTCTTCGTGGAATTCTTCTGCCGTTACCAAATAGCCCCCGCACAACTCATGCCGAATTCATATCGGTTCGTCTCCGCCTTCCTAGTCCGTTGCAAGGACAATGGGGTCACCGCCACTTTGGACTTGTTCCATTACTTCTACCGGCTCACCCCCCAAAATTCCGACGGTTTCCTGAGCATTGCAGCCCGTCCGAAACGGAGGTTGTTCAGCGGAGCACCGAGTTCCATCCATGATTGGAAGAATCGGTTCTTCTTTGTGCGGTATGCGGATGCTCGTCTGCCATTGCAGTGGAATGGCTATCCGCCCAAGATAGGGTCCCCGGAGCTGACCGACGATCTGGAGGAAGACATCAGAAAGATCTCGACGGGCGGCATCCGGCCCTTGGATGACTTCCTAACTTTCGAGGCACTCGCCGCGGCAGGAATAGGTACCGCCCATACTCTCGGACATCTCCCCTCCTACGCTCGTCTCGGGGTACTGGGCGGTCCTGACCTCCGAGGTGAGTTATTCCTGACGCTCGTCTATCTAACACATTTTCCATTTCCCTTTCAGGTCTTCCCCCAACCCAGTGATAGCCGTTATATTTACTTGTGTTTAACATAAGTATTTATAAGTATTTGTTGAAGAAAGGAAGAGAAATCGGGCAAATACCTCCAAAATGAGAGCTAGAGCATAAAACATTGCGATGAACAACTTTTTAGACCAAGAGAATGACGTTCTGCCCATAATTTGAGTATAACGTATTCTATAAAACTCGAAATCACTCGATTCGAGTTTCATGTGAATGCTAACTCAATAAGGTACAAATGTTATGAAGACGTCATGGCCAAAATATGAAAGGAACAAGACTCAATCAATCAACAAAGTCAGATGTTGCTGGTGGGATTTCAGGATGCATACCTCTCAGTGTTTTAGCCATAACGTTTGATTGGATGAATAAAATCACGTCATTCAAGTTTTGGTGGATAGAAGACTTCATTAGCTACAACTTTGGTGAAGGACTCATGTCCAAATTCGTAGCGGAACATCCCCAAAATCCCAGGACAAAACCGGCGCCGGAATTTCACCAAACCAGCGCCGGTTGCATTTAATCTGCCATTTTCCCGGCTGACCGACGTATAACCGGCGCCGGTTTTACCCTATAACCGGCGCCGGTTATGGTGTTTTTCACTATTATTCCATCCCCGAAGTAAAACCGGCGCCGGTCAAGCCTAAAACCGGCGCCGGTTAAGCCCGAATCTGCAGAATACAAAGAGACGTGCAGCCATATCTTGATGGGAAAAACTCACCTTCCTCATGATCTGATCAAATATATCTTCCATGCCTGATTGTTGGGCTCGAATAGACTAAAAGATGCCAATCTTTAGCCTATATAAAGCCCCCAATTCATCAAACAAGATCATCATTCCACTCTTGAAGATTAAATTTCAGTTTTTATATTTCCTTTTTGCATTTTTTTGAAGTGTTGGAGAAGAAGCCATTTCTCTCCTCTACAATTGGTTCTAGGTATTATTTCTTGTATGTTATTGTACTTCATTGTTCTTAGTTACACTTTTGTAATTAATATGAGCATTAGAGGCTAAGTTCTTAGCTAAGGCTAGGGATGAACTTCTATGCCCACTAGGTGTTTGATAAAAGTTCTAAACCAATAAATTGTGATTTATCCTTTACATTTTGATTGTTTATGACTATGGTGTACAACATAGAAGTATGTTAAACTTAGTTTATGCTTGCAATTAACGTTGAGGTCTAAACTATGAACATTAAAGGATAAACATATATATTACCGAGAATAGAGATATATCCGGTATTATATGATACGGGTGTGATGTCTTGATATTCAACGGGGTTTTCGGTAGATGAATGTAAGCCGTAACGGGACTTACACGTAACGAAAACCACGCTCTCGCTGCCTTAACCGGAGTTGAGAATATATTAGCGACATCGTATTCATAATTGTTGGTAAAGAACTAATATTCAACCCTATTAAAGCATTTAAGTGATTCCCGAAGCCTTAGTTGTTGTCATCAATCACTTTAATCAAATTAATTTAAGTTATATCTCTGAAAATTAAAAAGAAGAACCAAGTTGTTGTTTTCACAACAACACACAACTCAAAATCCCTGCACTTTACTCATTTATTTATTTAAAGTTATCTACTCTCGGACTAAATTAAACAACGTTTCCCTGTGGATTCGACCCGGTATTTTACCGGAATTTATTACTATATCGGCACTTGTACACTTGCAAGTTTAGCCCGGTCACCCAGGAACAGATGAATCACGAGAAGCTCCTCAGGACGAGGAAAGGCAAAGGCGCTGCTGCAGATGCTGCCCTTGCCAAGGCCAAGGCCGTCCAAACAGCAGACTCCAATTCCTCCGCCTCCCAGGCCGACCGTCGCACGGTGGAGGCGGAACAGCACCTCATTGCCACGGTGATGGCACAGGGGTCCCAGGCCCAAATCCTTAACCCTGGCGCTCCCGAAGTCGTGGCGCCTTTGCAGGCCGTCCATCCCCAGGAGGGGGAGAAAGCGAAGGACAAGAAGTCCAAAAGGCCCAGGGGGATTGGCTCATCGGCCCCCGAAGGGCAAGAGTTGATCCTCCCCTCTCCCGGACGTCCGGCGCATGACGTTTGGCAGGAGATCGCTTCTCTGGCCGGTGTGGAGATGCCTCCCCGGACGTCTTCAGAGGCTTCCAATGCGGCTCTGGCCGCTGCTCTTCAGGTAATACTCCGCTCCGCGCAGGGTGCTTGATTACCCCATTCTAATGTTTTGAAGTCTCACTTCCCGTATTCGATTTGTAGGTCGGGCTCTCCGTTCTGCAGTCTGAGGCTGCCCGAGATGCCGAGGTCCTCCAGGCGAGGAATAAGGCAGATGCGGCTTTGAAGAAGGCAAGAGAGGCCGCTCGTCTTCAGGAGAAAGAGCTGGCGGCCAAGGACAAAGAACTGCAGGCCGCCCTGAAGGTAGCCCGCGAGTCCTCCGCGAAGCTCGCGGTTCTGGAGAAGGCCGGGTTCAAGCTCGTCCCAGCTCTCCCTGCCCCCAAGGACGAGGCCCCTGAATGGCTCGTCGATGATACCGGGTACCATAATTCTGGGGCTTTCATGATCGCCGCCCAGAGGTATCTTGGCGGCGCTTTCGACGATGTATTCGCCGCCGAGCTGCAGAAGCGTGCGCCGAAGGACCGGCTCAAGTTCGGGGTCCAGGTCCTGGAGAGTGCCCCCCTGGCCGAGAAGTTCCTGTATGATGTTGGAGATTCCTCCTTCGTCATCGGCTATAATGAAGGGGTGAAGGCCACGCTGCCCGTGTTTGCTGCTCTTCAGGGCCCCGATTTCAAC